CTCGCCCTGCACGACCACGCCCGTGTCCAAGTCGACGCACACCACTTCATGTCCAACTTCGCCTACGCAACCACTTTCAATCGTCGATTTTAAATGCATTTTAAATGCATTTTAAATGAGTTTTAAAGTTCCTGTCCTTGTACTGTACGTACTTAGCACCTCGGCATCCAGCAAATCCTTTTGAACGCCCACGATGAACGGCGTCGGGCACTGCAAGTACCCGAGCAGTTTCCCCGGCAGCACAGGCAGGTACACATGGGGCCACTTGAGCGGGTGCAGAATCGTCCGCAGAGACTCGGCGACCACGGCCAGCACGGTCAACTGCGACGAGATGAGTAGGAGGCGGCACTCGACCAGCGCCGCCGTGAACAGCGTGATGATGTTGGCCACGTCCAGCGTATCAAACAGCAGCGACAGGGAGAAGTCGATGCCCGGGAGGCGGTCGGGCAGGTGTCGCCATCCGGCCGTGCGGAGGGGCGCCGTGAGCGTCGAGAGCATGCTCGAGCCAAAGCCCCCGGACATCATGCACGCCTCATACACGTCACTCACACGTTGGCGTAACGTTGTGTGCAGTGGGTAACGAGAATACACGGCCACGCCTACAATACACAAGGAATAATGGTAAATATATATATTTATTGTCCAATAACTTGGAAACGAATACTGGTATGGTCGAAGTATGGTCAAATGCGAGTGCTAGTGTAGCAGCACCGACCAAAGCATATACAAATCAAGGCCAATATATATATATACATATATACAATTGTATGCTCTAATATATATATATATATATATATATATATATATATTGGCCGTGATTTGTATGCTTGTTATATATATATAGTGTACCTACCGTAGGGCAAGTACGAGGTCGGGTCGTCCTGTTTGGGGCGAAAGAGGGTCATCACGGCCACAAACAGCTCGACTTCGCCCACGAGCATGTGCGTGTTGAATGCAAAAGGCGACGGACAATGCGAGCTTTTAATTCGGCACTCTGTAGGGATGTCCTTGCACCTACATGTCGTCGAATACCCTTCGTTATATGATTATATTATCGAAAGCAAAAGATATTGGTTTCGAAACACACTTCCACGATAGATAATATGGTCGAAATATCTAAACTTTTGAGTTTGTCGTTGATTTGCACCATTACACACCACCTAAAAATATACAACAATAATATATATATATAT